TATGTGAGAAAGTAGTATAGATGATTATTTATAGACTGTAAATGTTAACGGACGTAGTGACACCTATTTCCTCTCTTGAAATGAATGTGCCCCAGAGCTGGGCGGATTCATAATGGCCGCGGTAAGCTCGTCCCGCAGGACCGCCAGCACGAGACCCATTCATTTAACGAGTGTATTCAAAAGTTCACAGCAGCTAAACTAGGCTGGTCCAAAAGTAGTAGTAGTAGTAATCTTTATTTATATACCGCCTTTTCACTGCAAATCTGAGTCTCAAAGCGGTTTACAATTGTTAATTTTTTTGGGCATTTGTCTCTCACTCCACACAGAGATGGGAGCGGGGTCGCCAGTACAGGAGGCGCATGCTAGAACTATTGGACATATTTTTTTTTTTTTTTTTTTTTTTTTTTTTTAGTGGTAGGGGAAACCGGAGTACCCGGAGGAAACCTACGCAGACACAGGGAGAACATGCAAACTCCACTCAGAAAGGCCCTGGTCCGACCGGGATTCGAACCCAGGACCTTCTTGCTGAGAGGCGAGAGTGCTATCCACTCAGCCACCGTGCCGCTGGCACGGTGGCTGAGTGGATAAAAAAAAAAAATACTCCCTCGGCATCGACACTCATCTGGAACGTAGCGTTGAGCCAAGAGTCGACTTTTGGACCATGCTGTACAGCCTTTTTTGAGAGGAAAGATGTCGTAAGAATGCACTGGATAATTCTGTTTCCGCCACCACCGGAAAGTAGTCGGATTGCAAGCATTTCAGTGCACATGCTCATGGACCTTTTTGAGCTGGGGGTGGCAGGGGTTGCAGTGCTCACACAACAATCTTATACTTTTTGGTCCGAGGTCTGATTCCAGTATCATACACAGGCCCAGAACAAGGATATATCCATCCATCCATCCATCCATTATCTACCCTTTAATCCATTTCTGGGTCAGGGGGGTGGCAATCAGAGATGCCACCCAAGTCTCATAGGGGCTGGCCCTCACTGACCCTCTGCAGGTGGTGACAGCTGCTCTCTGAGTGTGAGCATAGCCTTGATCTTTCAGTGGGGGCTTTTGGGCAAAGTGGGGTTAAGTGTCTTGCCCAAGGACACAACGATAGTAGTCATCAGTGGGAGTCGGTGGAGAAGGTGTAGAGGTGGGTATTGAACCCACGACCTTCAGGCCTGAAGGCCAATGCTCTACCAACTGAGCTATTGTCGCCCCCGACTGGAAATGGCTTCACAGAACCAGTATTTTTTAGGTTATCAGTCATTATCTCCAAAATACGGAAGGCACGACTGTGTAGCAGTTTCAGGGCTCCTTCTGCAAAGTCAAAAGAAAATAAATCAATGAAATGGTGAGCTGCAAAACAAGATCAAATCTAAGCTAGTAAATGCTTGAATGTTAGTGTTTCTTTTGTTTTTTTGTCAATGGAAATAGCAACATGTCTATGGACAAGAGTCAAAACAATTGATTTGTCTCCCCTTTTGTGCTTGAATGTGAAGACTAATTTCCATTAAAATGTTTCATGATAGAATGCACTGAAATGGAGACAAATTTAGCCTGATTTTAATAATATGTAATTTTACTAGGATTTTGTTTACAATGCAGGTTTAAATAGTGCACAGTTAGATACCCATTAAACCATCCATCATTGGTGCGTTTAGTATGCGTTTACGCACATCTGAATATAATAACATTTGAAAGATTCAGCTCGTAATTTCTTTGAAGAGCTACCTGGAATAGAGAAGTGCGCTGCTGGTGGCACCTCAGCTTTAGGTTGGTACAGTGTCTTGAATACAGTTCAACTTCTGCTCATGTTGTCATGTTGTAGCATAGCCACAAATGTTTAAAATGTGTTAATGTGTGTTTAGGTATATTTGTTTATGTTTTGGGCCTAATGGGACAGGTCTGTTTTGTGAATGAACTGGGGGGCGTGTCCCGGGAGGGAGCGCTCATCAGAGACCTGCCATCAGGTGCGGGGGAGAGAGACGGGGGAGGTTTTTGGTTTTGGACACGGCTCGAGGAGACCACGAGAGACTTGAGTCGGAGATCTTTGGGGGGATTATTGTAGCGGACTGTACAGACCCTCGGGACGGACCCCGCAGGAGAGCCCGGTTGCCGCTCACGCACGGCCTGTGCGCGTTTTGTTTATGAACTTTATACGCTGGAGAGGGAGAGCGCACTCACCCACTGCGCTCTGCCCACACTCTGAACGTTTGGATTACTTTCCCAGTTGGATTACTTTCCCGTTCTGTTTGGATTACTTACATCGTTTTGTCAACTCTTGGATTTGCCTTTTGAACTACACTGACTATCACCGGAGCCACGTACTCGTCACCAGGTTTGACAGTGGGGCATATGGTGGGCGCGGGGAGGACAAAGTCTTTTATATTGTTTATGATTATTGCTTGTTTTGGACTGAGTACTGAGTAAATGGAGTACACGTTACGCACAGTAGATTAATGAGTGGTTGTTTTTCTTTGATCAGCGTTAGGTCAATCGCAGCGGGTATAAAGCGTCACAGTTACCTCGATGTATTTTGTAGTGCGCGCTCCGAGGGGCTGAGTGTTACAATGTAAGTAAGTAAGTAAGTAATCTTTATGTATATACCGCCGGCGCCTTTCGCAGACCAGAGTCACAAAGCGGTTTACAATTTCTTAATATTTTTTGGGCATTTGTCCTCTCACTCCACACAGAGATGGGAGCGGGGTCTGTCAATGTTACAGACCACAGCAAAGTAATATCAATGAATGTAAAATGATACAGGATTTTGTTCATGTAAAATTAAATCAAAAATCAAAAAGTGAGATTTGCAAAAGTAATCATACAGCGTAAAGTAATACAATGTGGAATCCCGAGCTTGGTGTCCAATTGTGTCCAGTATTTTTGATCAACTCTTCCCTGTCTCTGCTGAAGATAGCAGCCCCACAGCATGATGCTGCCGCCCCTATATTTGACACTGGGCAAGGTGCACTGAGGGAGACAATTGTGTTAGTTTTGAGCCATACAGAACATTTTGCATTTGGGCCAAAGCTTACATTTTGTTCTTATCTGACTACAACACCTTCTTCCACATGTTGAATATGTCCCTGCTTTTCTTCTTGTGGCTTTATTTCAGCACCGACTTTAGTATTTACCACTTTTCCATAAAGCCCACATAACATGCTTCAAACATGAGGCTCTGAGGCCCTCACAGAACAGCTGTAGTTATACTGAGAGTAGATGATGCTCACGTAGGCTCCATTTAATCATTAGGGCAAGGAGATAACATTCACCTTTTATTAGGAATGTTTTAAAGGCAATATGAATACTTGTGCGCACGGCGCACCACACATTTGTGTTGTTGTCTGTGTGTGAATCTGAAAATAAATCTTTATGGATATAATCAGCAAGAGTTCAAGATGTATTCGATAAATGCATTGCCGGGCTTTACCCCCTTGCAAAGGTTAATATCACAAAGTAAAATAAAGACAGTTCGTTACTTGCTAATTATCGATGGACTTCACTTTCAACACGTCACTTTATGAGGAGGAAACAGCCGTCCACATAACAAATATATTTAAACTCACAGTGAGACTCCTCGGCCTCGCGCAGTGTCACAGGCTGTGAGAAAATGATGGCTGTTATACAATAGACAATTATTCAGATGCTCTTTCTGTTATAGACAGAACAGAAAATTATCTGAGCTCCAGTGTGCGCGTAATGCTATATAATCATTCATTTGTCTCTTTTATGTCAAACAATTGCAGCGAACCAATCTGTTCGGCCCATATTCTCTGTCTCCTTCAGAGCTGCACTCAAATGAAATCAATCAAAGAAAAAGATGTGAGAAAAATACGGGGAAACGTTTGTGGGAAACTAGGTCGCTGTATAGAAAGTGCCCTGGATTCAGGAGCTCATGTTCTGCTGCTTTGGTGCTTCAGGGGAAAAAGAATTTTCAAATTCAACAACACATTTTAAATATTAAGGAAATTCATTAAATGACCTTAAAATTCATATAGAAATCCCCCATTATTTGTTAATAACAGAGAATTATCTGAGCTCCAGTGTGCGCGTAATGCTATATAATCATTCATTTGTCTCTTTTATGTCAAACAATTGCAGCGAACCAATCTGTTCGGCCCATATTCTTTGTCTCCTTCAGAGCTGCACTCAAATGAAATCAATCAAAGAAAAAGATGTGAGAAAAATACGGGGAAACGTTTGTGGGAAACTAGGTCGCTGTATAGAAAGTGCCCTGGATTCAGGAGCTCATGTTCTGCTGCTTTGGTGCTTCAGGGGAAAAAGAATTTTCAAATTCAACAACACATTTTAAATATTAAGGAAATTCATTAAATGACCTTAAAATTCATATAGAAATCCCCCATTATTTGATTAATAAAAGTACCCTCTAATACTATCCAGTCTTACATCTAGTATTAAATCAATATTATACAAAATATACTGATCAAGGAAGCTGGGAAGTTTCCACCATCTAGATCTACATCACCCTAAACTAGCCACCCGCAGGAGGATCAGCGAGGGGTCGGTGATATGTGATTTGGGTGGCAGCTCCCCAACCCAGAAATTGAATAATAAAGGGGATGGAAATGACATGACATGACATTACCCTAAACAAGCAGCAGGCGGTGGTCTGGAGAAAAAAATGGCACTGTTTGTTTTTAGGAACACAGGAGCGAGGCCTTTCTGAGTGGCGTTTACATGTTCTCCCCGTGTCTGTATAGTTGTCCTCCAGTTGCTTAGGTTTCGCCTACCGATCAAGAAAACATGTACAATAGGTATAAATGTAATGAGTGTGTAATGGATGGGGTTGGTAGGGAGTTTTGATGGACCAGTGTGTTCGGCCCTCACCCTCTGGACAGAATGGAATCTTAACTCTGAACATTGTAAAACACTCTGTAAAATGTGCTATATTAATAAAGATTATTTTCTTGTTCTCCTTTGAATTATTGTAATGCATTTGGTTTCCCTATAAGTTTTACATTGATTTTATAATACCTGTTGTGTGTCCAGGCTCAGCAAGAGACCCAGAAAGCGGCTCTCCGGTACGAGCGAGCGGTGTCCATGCACTCTGCGGCGCGGGAGATGGTGTACGTGGCGGAGCAGGGGCTGCTGGCCGACCGCAACACTCTGGACCCCACATGGCAGGAGATGCTCAACCACGCCACCGCCAAGGTACCACACTTTACCGGTTTCCTCAACCATTGACCTTTTGAGTCAATACATCTAAAGTAGGGGCGACAGTAGCTCAGTTGGTAGAGCATTGGCCTTAACACTAGGACCGCCGTGCTCTAAACATACCTTGTACCGCCCCCCTGCGGTCAGTTGACCGCTATGTATTTTGCGCTGATACAGACTTTTGCCAAATTGATTGTTCACTAAACCAGAACTTGATGTTGCAAAGGAATCGTGATCATAATGAAACTGTGTAAATTATTTGTCTAAATATGCTAAGTAATTGTAATTCTAGCCGAAATAAAAGACTAAGACGACACATTGTGCGTAAACTGATCCATCAAAATTACGATGACTTTTCAGGCTAGATTTATTTTGTAACTTTGCAAACACCTAAAAGGTCGGTCACTATATGTTATATTTGACTCAATAACAATATGTAAATTCAAACAATATAAATTATAGTTTAGAAAAGCACGGGACCATAACGTCTTCGCGCTGCTATATGCGTCTACTTCTTACGTCATCTCCAGACTGTTTTCTTTTTAGAGGCCGAAATCACCGTGGGAAATATTATCTAGATAATAATAATATTCGTATTGACACAAGATCATCAGCTAGGCTACCATCGCCAATGTACAATCTTCAATTTTACACGGGACACGTTAGAAATACAAATATATGTATATATATTTGTACAAATATATGTATATATATTTGTATTTATTTGAGACAAGCAGTGCTCTTTATGCTCAGAACAACATTATAATCATTGCCTTGCAGTGCGCGCTGTGCAGAATAACACACAGTGTTATCTGAATGAAATAAGAATGATATCCTTATTGATATGATGAGGGCCGCTTCTGCCCCACAGTCGCTCTCCTCCTGCAGTGTCCGCGGGTGACGAGAGGATCACAGCGCTCTCTCTGCACTCTGCCTTGATAGTTCATCTAATTGTTCTATTTTATTGCGATATTGTATTCTGCTGTATTGCCTTCTTGTATGTATAAATATAATAATGTAATTGATGATGAATGAAAAGGCAGAATGGAGCGACAGCGCGCACACAGACACCTGCGTATGGCTGGCATTACGCGGGTCATGTGCGTTATTGCTTCTGGACTTGTTACAACACTGCTGTCCGTGCCGTGAATGCACTATGGGTTTACGTTCAGATTTAGAATATTATAGGTGTTCTCCCCGCTGTCACTTTCTACCTCAAATGTGACATCTCTCACCTCCGTCAGACTGTTCTCATTCAATGTCTTGAAGCACTGTCAGGGCTTCTACCGTGTACTTGCAGCTCTATTCATTTTGTACTCCTCCCTCTCTCCCAAATAATAATAAAAAAGTCCCTTTAGAGTCTAATGACAACATATTGATACATTTTTATAAGGCGCGAAAAACCCCCGGGAAAGGTTACTATGACAACAGTCGCCCCTGCGCCATGTATCTCCATGGGGAAGCAGAAAGGGCTGTGGTTTAGAAAAGTTAAAATGCGTGTAAATCTTGTTTTCTTTACTTTTTCCAAAACCAAAACACACCAAAATATAAACAACAAGTACCTAGAAAAAGTCATAAAATTTCAACTTCTGGCGTTTTGTTTTGAATACACTAATTAGCATATTAAAGTGAGTGACGGTCAGTTGACCGCTAGGGGCGCTCCTAGTGTTTAGGCCAGAAGGTCGTGGGTTCAATTCCCACCTCTACACCTTCTCCACCGACTCCCACTGTTGACTGCTGTCGTTGTGTCCTTGGGCAAGACACTTAACCCCACTTTGCCCAAAGCCCCCACTGAAAGATCAAGGCTATGCTCACACTCAGAGAGCAGCCGTCCTCCTGTGGACTCACCACCTGCAGAGGATCAGTGAGGGGCTGGTGCTATGAGACTTGGGTGGCATCTCTGACTGCCACCCCCCTGACCCAGAAATGGATTAAAGGGTAGAAAATGGATGGAAATGGATGGACATCTAAAGTATGTTTGGAACTGAAATATCTCTTTGGAGCATCTTTTTTGGTTTAGGAACTTTTACCATCAAATGGCATCTCACTAATTTGGTAAAGGCCTATAATCTAAAATACAAATGATTTGTGTTATTAGTGTCTGGTGCTTTGTGAATTCCCAGAAATTGATAAATAAAGGACTGAAATTGAAATCTACGAAAAACCAAAAAAGAAAAAAATACATTGCTTTCATTCTAACATACTATTCTGAGTTATACTGTATATTATAAATATGTATATTATAAATACTAGGAGTGAACCAAGGGTTTCCTTGGTTCACTCTTGTCGAAGCCTGAAATGGAGTGGCAAGAAGTCAAACATAAAAGCCCCCACCCTTGCACCTAAATTCACCTTACTGTATAGAGTTGCATTGATTATCATTGTCATGTCATGTTATGTCATGACATGTCATCTCATTTTCTACCCCTTTATTATTCTATTTCTGGGTCAGAGGGGTGGCAATCAGAGCTGCCACCCAAGTCTCAATGCACCAGTCCCTCACTGATCCTCCTGCAGGTTGTGGGTCCACGGGATGATGGTTTCTCCGTGATCGAAGACATGGCCTTGGTCTTTCAGCGGGGGCTTCTGGCAATGTGGGGTTAAGTGTCTTTCCCAGTGACACAAAGACAGCAGACATCAATGGGAGCAGATGACATGGGTCGTGGTGGGCTTGAACCCACGACCATTCGCCCCTGATTTTCATTTTATTTTATGTTTTGAGAAATTGTCCTGATGGAAGGTAAACCCTTTGTCTCAAGATCAATTTCAATTCAATATATTTTTGTATACCCTTAAATCAAACAGTAGTTGAGAAATGCAATGATACAACACGTATAGAGCCATAGGTCCTTAAGGGGCTGATGTCCATAAATGATGATATAGTCTTTCGCTGACTCATGTTTCTGCTGAAGTCCCACAGCCTGATCCTGCCACCCTCATATTTGGCACTGGGGATGGTGTTTTTCCCTGCTGATGCATGAGGGTCTAAGGCACTGTATGATTCTCTGATCTGTGTTGGCGAATCGCCGGCTTTGTAAAGTCCTTTGAGATAACTACTGTTGTGATTTAAAAATAAATTTTATTTAATTGAAAAGCAGAGTGACAAGTACTGTTTCTTTTCCACCTCACATAGTATTTTGCAGCTAGGCTGATGATGAATGAAACAGTGCTGAAATCATGTATAATGATTTAGATCACAGGACCCCTGTGGAAACAGTTTACATCTGCATAATCACAGTCAGCATGAACCTGGACTAAACGAGGTCCAAATGCAGGGCTGACAATGAGACTGTGCATAAGAAACGAGTCAGAGAAATGTAATGAGAACAAATATTTAACTTGGTTTATGAAAATCTAATGGCCATTGGTTCGATCCCCCGACGATCCATGTAATCTGCTCCCACTGATGTCTGCTGTGAGTGTGTCCTTGGGCAAGACACTTAACCCCACTCTTTGCCTATGCCATCTTCCCGTGGACTTGCCATCTACAGGAGGACCAGTGAGGGGCTGGTGCCATGAGGACAGGGTGGCAGCTCTGATTGCCACCCCCCGACCCAGAAATGGATCAATAAAGGGGATGAAAATGAATGAATTAATGGTTTGTGAAAAGATAACTGCTCGAGAGAGGAGCTCGAGAATTATTTTAACTAATGCCCAGCTGGGTTTCCTGTTTTGACATTGATCGATTGTTTTTTTTCTAATTCCTAGTGGTCCATACATAGGTTTGGGACCTGCTTGTAGTGAACTCTGAGATGTGTAAGTTCTGGCATACACACATATACATGCTAACAAGTGCTGTGAGATGATGCTTGGGAAATGTTTAACACAACATTGCTTTAATCTTTCAAAGAGAAGTTCAAAGACTATTCAGCCTCTTTGTTCACTACCCAAATCATTAAATAGACTCCCAGCTCTCATACAAGAATGCAAAATATAAGACAAAATAAGATTAAACTTTATTGATCTCACAATGGAGAGATGTTTCTAATAAGATGTGTCATGACTATTTGTAAAATGATGTGAGGCCGGTGTCTTTTATGTGATTTATAATTTATAAATAATAATAATTTTCCATTACAGATTAAGACTGCATGTTCTGAGATCATAAAATGTTACTTTAAAGTAGAAGGAGACTAGTTTTGGATTAATAGGCCAGGCAAGGCAGGTTTATTTGTATAGAACAATTCATATACAAGGCAGCTCAAAGTGCTGAACAAATCAAGATAGCATTCAAATAATAACCATAAGTAATCACAGTACGTTAAAAAGAAAGATAAACATATAAAATCCCTCGATTGTTTGCACAGCTAAACAGTTCAATTTGGAGAGACGAGAAACAAGAAGCTTTGAGTATTTTATTGGGAGGAGGTTTGGCGCCCTAGGCCCCGGTGCGGCCTTCGGATCGGAGGGCCTCCATGCGAAGGAGCGAGCCAATCCCCCGGGACCTAGGCACTGGTGGCGGCATTTGCAGCGGGAAGCAGATTGAAGGCAGAATGAAGGCAGGGTGAAGAGGAGGAGGAGGGGAGGCGGTGGTTGCAGGCTTCGAGAAGGCCGAGAATGGGAGTTCCTCCGCTTTTAAGCAGCTTGCCTGGCTGGACCGGTGATTGGAAGGGGGCGTTTGCCGTGCGATAGGCTGGGGATGAGAACCGGCCTGGAGGGGTTACCTTTGGCTGACGTCTACCAAATTGAACTTTCGCTGGCTGCATTTCAATTTGGAGAGACGAGAAACAAGAAGCTTTGAGTATTTTATTGGGAGGAGGTTTGGCGCCCTAGGCCCCGGTGCGGCCTTCGGATCGGAGGGCCTCCATGCGAAGGAGCGAGCCAATCCCCAAAAAGGTTGTGAGTTGATGGAGTTTTGCAGCCTGGTTTGGTGGGGACAGACGTCGAGACTACTCTATGCTGTGACCGCTATCGCTATATGCTGTGACCGCTATCGCTATATACTGTGACCGCTATCGCTATATACTGTGACCGCTATCGCTATATACTGTGACCGC